CTATCTATCTATCTATCTATCTATCTATCTATCTATCTATCTATCTATTTATCTATCTATCGGTTTCCATAGATGTTGCTGGCTCCACTTCTAGCTTTCTCTGGCTCCTATCAGATCTTTGGGGCTAAACACAGAATAGCATGTGGGAAACTGAAACTGAACATAAAAGCAGGAAGCAAACAATTCAAACAGTTCCAAGCAGAGCTGTGGGGTTGGTTCACTGGTTTATCTGAAGCACCATCTGTGGCTTTTGTTCCAATACTTCTTCCCAGCAGGTTTTAGCATCCTGCAGGCCAGTTCCAATGTGGATGCAGAGAGGAAATAATAATATTAGCCAACATGCTTGGACATTTGAATTTAACAGCAGCCCTTATTAGAGAAAGTGTTCCCGCGCATATGCAGAATGCTATTTGAATACCAGGCATTTAAGAAAAAACAGGTCCTATTCAAAAAGAAAAAATGCTCAATGCCTTAGCTGCAAATCTAGGCTCAGCCCAGCTTTCAATGAACGCCAAAAGACGGTCATTGTATTTGAGGGAAAAAGGAGATTTAGTAAGAAAGACATAGGGTAGCAATACCTCACTTCTGTCTAAATTACATTTAGAAAAGAGAAAGACAAGAAAGAGATAGGAAGTTCCTGTTGTGTCTTAACTGAAGAGACTCATTTAACTTGGGAAAAACTTTATATCCACCTAAAGGAGTGTTGCTCAACTTCAGTGACTTTAAGACCCGTGGACTTCAACTCCTAGAATTCCCCAGCCAGCCAGAATTCTGGGAGTTGAAGTCCACAGGTCTTAAAGACTACTAAGTTGAAGGGGGATGCCTTGAATAAGGTGGGCAGATGGCCCTTGGCTTGGAGATGATGGACTCCTTGAGGGGTCCAACCAAACAGCTCTGCTGTCCCCATTAATGTATCAGTAACAATAATGGCAGAAGCGATCTGCATCTGACTATCGTAGCAATTGGATGATCATCTTCACACTTCTGTCCAAGGAAATGCCAGCCCTGGGGCTCATCACCCCCTTCCTTAGAGCAATGGGCACAAGGTCATTGATTCGTTACAATAAAAAATTGGTTATAAATCCAAAAGGATACTCCAAAGGCAGGGACGCACATAATCAC